TTCCACCTTAAGGCGACCCTATCACAGGGTTTTCTTGGCAAGGTTTGTTCAGAAGGAATGGCCTTTGCCTTCCTGTGGGGCTGAGAGAGAGTGACATGCTCAAGGTCAGCCGGTGGATTCCCATGGCCAAGCAGAGCGGGTTCAAACCCTGGTCTCCAGTCCAATGCTCAAACCAGAGGTCTTGTATGTTAAAAACAACAGCTTCTTTCCACTTAGAAAGCACCTGCCATCATTGTGGCTAAACGATGCATGGTCAAGGAGAGAGAGAAATGATAGTATTTGTACTGACTATTTTGATTTGTTCTGCATTGTGTGTGTGTGTGTGTGCAGGGGGGATTGTATTTCATTCATTGTATTTCATTACTGAATCTTATTATTTTGTGTTACTGGAATAGTTATAAATGTTTCATTCTGCAACTGTTTGTTAAGTGCCATGTACATGGATGGCCTTATATAAACAAACAGTGAAGGATTTGGAAGTCGTTTCCCTTGCCACTAGGCCCTTATGCCACTGAATTTTTGAGAAACTTGTTTTTCTTGCAGAAAATCTTGACGATGGTCCCGACGGAGGAGGAGAAGCAGAAGATCCAGGAGGCCCAGCTGGCCAACCCCAACGTCCCCCTGGGCTCCGCAGAGCAGTTCCTCCTGGCCCTCTCCTCCATCGCAGAGCTCTCTTCCCGGCTCCAGCTCTGGGCCTTCAAGCTGGACTATGACACCATGGAGCAGGTAGGGACCCCCTCGGTGGCAGGGCTGGGGTGCCCCCTTGTTATGCCCACAGCCCAGGCCCGATGGCAGAGGCGGCCCAGCAACCCTCTTGGCTGATGGACATTGCACTCCCTGCCTCAGCCATGAGATATCACACCCACAGCCCAACCATTAGCTATCACAGCCTATCCAGCAGTCAAGCACATGTGGGTTTGGATATGAAGCTGATGAAATAATCAGTCAGTTCTGGTCTTGGAAGGGTTGTTTATTTAGAAAAATGAGATAGAAAGGATAAAGGCAGAGGATCACAATTCTACCCTCCAGTTCCCAACAAGTAAGTATAAAGACAAGGGAAGGGAAAGCAGAGGAAGGCAAGCAGACGCACCTGCTTAGCAATAGCCTGTCAGAAGGAAAGGAACCAGACACCCAGCGTCTCTGTCCAACTGCAGGCAGAGACCTCACATTCACACATTGTCCAAGCAGGGCTGCTACAAGCTTTCCCGCGAGGTAAAAATCCTTTCTGCTAGCATCTTATATGTGGTTGTCATTTTCCACCAACTTAGGACATATGCTAGGTCATAATATGTCCTGCAGAGTCTGCGCCAAAGGAAGTGGGGAGAAGACCACTCCGTTTGCCACATCCCCGGTGTCAGGAGGAGCAAGGAGCTGCTTATCTCTCTTTGCTCTGGGATGTCATCCCTCCTCCCTCCCATCGCAGCCAAGAACTTCTCACAGCAAGGCCTATGCATTTTAAAAGCTAACTGCAGCCTGAACCAAAGTATTGCTAGATTATAAATCCCAGGGCTTTACACCCCTGCTGGGCTTGTCCTGTTCAAAACAAGGTCGCCATTTGGGCTGGGTGGATGGGTGGTTTCGGTTTCTTACAGCAGGTCTGGGGAGAGATGCGGAAAGGGAAAACTTTTCTGATGGTCTGACTCAGTAGCCCTGGGTGTTGCAAGGGGCCCCAGACATCCCCTGATACCTGTAGCAGGTGCGAGCATTTTGCGGAGGGCTTGCAATTGGTCACTTTTGCTCCTGGTCCCTGAAGGCAGTGTCCGGCGGCTTGACAGACAAAGCCCTTCTCTCCTCAAGGGCTCTCCTGGCGCTGCATTTCTGTTTGCTTGGTGTCTTCCCTTGCAGGAAATTGCAGAACCACTCTTTGACCTGAAACTTGGGATGGAGCAGCTGGCCAAAAACCAGACCTTCAAGTGCATCCTTGCCACCTTGCTGGCCATGGGCAACTTCCTGAATGGCTCCCAGGTGAAAGGAGGGATGGAGTGGGGTGACTGATGGCTGGGGGTGAGTGGGACCAGCTCAGGCCTTGGGGGGCGCGAAGGAGGCTGCCTCTGGGGCAAGACACAGACCCAATGCCATGGCTTCTGTGGGGAAAGCTCTCAGTCCTCATTCCTCTGCCGCTTCCTCCAACAGGCAATCCCAGGCGTACCTCTGGGACTGAAGGCTGTGGATGGGAGGGAGGGTTAGTTTACAGGTTCCATGCAAAGCTCTACCCGGATTCTGGCTTTGTTTTGGATAACTGGGCCTTTGAGCCCTTCTGGGGTCCCTCAAGACCTTCCTCAGACCGGCCTGGGCTGTTTATTGCCCCAAAGGTCTCTCCCTCTTCCGCTGTTCTCCTCTTCTGCCCAAGCCCAGGACTGCTCCATGCTGGGAGCTCTTGTCCTCCTGGAAGCAGCCTGGGCTGGCTCTCATTGATGGGACAGCCAGTTCCAGGCCTTAGGCTGGGCAGGTGGGCAGGTGAGCAGTTGCCCCAAACAGCCAGGGCTCATCCGTGCCTTGGTGACCCCTTGTCCTTCCTCCTGCTCTGGGGAGAGTGGAGGGACTGGGGGGCTCCTAGGCCCCAGAGGAAGGGGTCCCAAGGGAGGGTCCCTCCCCTCTGCCATTGCTGCAGACCCAGGAAGAGCCATGGCTAATGTGTGTGTGTGTGTTTTCAGAGCCAAGGGTTCGAGCTGAGCTACCTGGCCAAGGTGTCAGAGGTGAAGGACACTGTGCACCGGCAGACCCTTCTCCACCACCTGTGCCACACCGTGGTGGAGAAGTTTCCGGAGACCACAGACCTCTACTCGGAGATTTCTGCCATTGCGCGCTGTGCCAAAGTACGATGGGGCTCCTGCCTTTCCCTGGGCTGCTGAGCGGAGGGGGGCAAGGGTTGTGGGGCCACGCTGGGCCAGAGGAACTCTGCCTTCCCTTCACCCTCCCCAGGTTGACTTTGACGATCTGGCGGAAGGGCTGCTGCAGTTGGAGCGGCGATGCAAGGCGTCCTGGGACAGCCTGAAGGCCATCACGAAGCACGACATCAAGCCGGCCCTGAAGGGAAAGATGACGGACTTCCTGCAGGCCAGCACGCAGAAGATCGTCATCCTCAAGGTGGTCCACCGGCGTGTCTTGAACAGGTCGGCATCCCCTCTCAGGCAGATGGGTTTCCTGGTGGTACTGCTTCCTTGTGGGCTTTGAACAGCGTGCCAGAGCCAGAGCAGGGGCCTGGCAAGGGCTGGGCGTCCTCTGGGGCTGGGGAGCCTGCTGCCCTTGAACCACAGCCACAGCCGCTCACCCAAAGCACCTCCCCAGGTTCCACTCCTTCCTCCTCTACCTGGGCTATGACCGGCG